GTGTGTGAGAGAGAGAGAGAGAGAGAGAGCGCGCATATAATACCCCAGAGTGAGCGCTGTCTAGGTAGGCAGCTCGCTAGGTTTTGAGACACGTCACTAGTTCTCCAGTGCCCCGCGCATCTCTGCGCCTTACAGAGCTCCTGTATCTATAACTCACGGCGAGCTGAAGCTGTGGAGCTACAGCAGAGAAACTCCTGCGACTCTCACACCAGGAGGAACTATCTTTAGCGTCACTGAACACCTTCAAGAGACCCCTACAGGTCAGTGCACTTCCAGACCACCTCTAGTGAGCAGCAGGTGAATACTGAAGAGAGAGAACAGTTCCTTTAGCTTACTTTGTGTCTGCTAACTTACATATATGCTGCACCGTTTCAATATTAAAAAGCCATAATTTACTTCGGGTGTGTAAATATAAACAGCTTATGATATTAAATTATATTAATAATCTGCATGAGGTAAACTGAATTCTGAGAATCTGTGAATAAACTGCTGAGTTTGCGTGTTTAATAGTTGATTTAAGTTTGCTAGGTTTTAGTAGATTTCAATAGTAAGCAACATTTCGTGTTTTGCATAGCTGCACTTAATGAGTTAGATTACACCAAAAATCATCCTCATTACCAGGCTTGATGTTTCTGTCTGGGTTTATTTATTTAGAGGAAAGCGTTTGACTGTTATAGTGAATAATTTACAGTAAATATTGATTTTTATACAGGCCTCAAAAATATCTGGATATTTTGGCTACACTGTTTGACTGTCACTGCTTTCGACATGTTAAAAAAAAAATTGTAAAATATTTGATAGATTTAAATGAATAAAACGATAGTGTTTTTTGTTTCTTCTTAGTGGAACATATTGATAGTTCATGTGTTCCTCTACATCTGTGGTTCCTCTGTAGGACACCTGTGTGAACTTAGCCACTAAAAACACCCCAAAATACAGCTAATTCACAGAAAAGTGACTCCTTCAGAATTAAAGAACAGATGATACTTGATGAGATATTTTGTTGTAATGTCCAGATAGACTATCTGTCTAAATACTTTCTGCGGCCACTGTATGCTGCTTATTTCAACATTTTCTTTATTTTTAACTTTATTATAAAGAGACCTCTACAGAGATTTGATTATTCAGTAAACACAGCACGAACTGTATTTAAGCTGAGATTCAGATTTTGCAACTTTGCAGAAGTTGTGTTTTGTTGAAGATTTTGGCTTATGGAGTCTTGACTGAGTAAAAGTTTCTGTGTCAAATTTACAAAAATGCTCTTTAATACTATTTACCACTTGTTAGATGTCTGAAATGGAAAGCATCATTATAGAGATCCACATATGTAAATATATGAAACCTTAGTGTTGTTTGCTCGCTGGGGTTTTGTGAAGCACTCTTCTCTGTAAAGCTGCTTTAGAACTGATCTTTCAACTATAGCTCTGTGTGTGTAATAATATCATATCACTATCATATGAGTCAGATGAAGTCATTTGCTGTCATTACTATATGAATGTTTCAGCATTCTAAAGATAGAAACACAATAATCATTTTTGACATTTGGTTATTGTTATAGATGTAAAACTGGATTTTTTTTTTGTTGGTTTGATTTTTGATCTTGCACAATATGAATTTTAACTAAAACATTATCTAACAAAATGCACATCATAGAGTATGACAGTGTGTTATCACTCTACAACATAATGACGGCTGACATCTATTAGCAGAAGTTGCATCATGTTCTGATACATGAACTACAGTAGCATATCTATAAAAAAATAAAAAAAACTTTGCCAACGTAAGCACTCTTTAATTCAAGAACACAAATAGCGACTAACGCACGACGTCTGGCCTGCTGTTCTTTAGGGAAATTAAAAGAACCTTATGACATTTGTGATGCGTTACACAAATTGCGAAATTAATATGAAAGAGAGGTCAGTAAATATCACATTCTGCTTTACCAGTAAATCTGAGGTCAGCTTTGTCATTCGGCTCACACTGTGCTTATGCATAGTAAATAATCGTAAAAGTGGGAGGGCAAGAAAAAAAACAGAAACTGAAAATCGAAATTGAAAATTTTTCACTTGGACTCAGAGTTCTTCCCGTAATTATTGTGTGTTTTATTGTGCTGTGTACAGTATGTTGTTTATGTGTGTGTTTGTCTTTGTATGTTTACATGTACAGTGGAGTCCAAAAATCTGAGGCTAGTTAAAATGTTTGGGTTTTCTAGTTTAACATGAATTTTCCAATACAAAAAATAATTATGTATTATGATTTGAAATATGAACATGAATTCATGTTCTCCAGCATGGTTTAAAAACAACATCCTGTGCTTCAGTGGAAGCAAGAAAATTTGATTAGTCACCTAGAAATAAAAAAATATATTTTTTCTTTGTTTTTACATTTTATTTTTTTCTTTGGTTGAATTAGATTTTGAATCCTGTATTTTCAATGTGGTTTCAATCGTTAGCATGTGTAAAACCTCAGGGAACGTACAGTATAGAGTGAAACAAATCTAGCCGTTTCAGACCTGTTATATAACTGAAGTGTACCGTGGTGGACTTTACCCTGTTGTCATAAACGTACGGTGTGGAAATCGCAGCAGAAACCCTCTTTACACTGATTTTTAATGTAAAACTGCTTGTCACTTTGAGCTGCACTTGCAGCTGATACATTCTTGCACTTTGCTCATTTAGTTTTGGTGCACTTAAAAATACTGAGACCTCAATCTCAGTAAGAACTGTCTTTACGGTACAGCTTTTTCAGCCTGAGCTCAGTACATTGTGTGTGTGTGTGTGTGTGTGTGTGTGTGTATGTGTGTGTGTGTGTGTGTGTG